GGTAGTGCTGAGGGATCCTGCCCCAATGTCCTTTTTCAAGGGGAGGACTCTCCAGCTGGAAGATACCCCCCTTTTTTTGAGAAACAGCCCCTGATTTGGGGTGCTAATAAGCGGCTGTGGCGCATGGGGAGAAGCTGTGGAAGAGCAAAATTGGAGATCCTGAAGGGAGAAAAAAAAGATAATATTGAAAATACTAGTATTCCAAATGGGAGTACTGGTCGAAAGACATTCAGTTCTAGAAAAAAAATTACCTCAGAAATTGCAGAAGTATGTGGAAACTTAGAAGGCTGAGGGGAACCTTTCAAAAAGGTAAAGTGTGCGAGGGAGATAGCAGCTACATGTTAAAGGAGAAATATGAAGCTATTTTAATATGAATAAATGGGAAGAGAAAATAGTTCTTGAAGAGTTAGGAAATGTGAGGTACACAATAAAAGTACATGTTGTAATTTTCCATTTCTGCTTAAAGGAATAGGCATATAGAGGCACTTAGCTAAGGTACTTTTAGGAAAGATGTAGTAAGCTGGAGGAATAGAGAGGAACTATATACAATGACTCAAAGCATAGTTTTAGAATAGTGCACACTATTGTAGAATAGCATATAGTTTATGAATAACATATTCAATTTATATAAGGTTTATTCTTTATAAAACTGCCTAGAGTTAGTATTTTAAAGTATAATCCTATAGCCAAAGTGTAGCCATGTTTAACTGAAGCACGAAGTGAGAACTCTGTTACACACATAGCTTCTAGATGAAAAGCAGGCATTCTTATATAGATAAACAAGTGAAGATATAAATCTTTTTTAATTGCAATTATCTAGGTTGACAGGCTCACCTTGTAGGAAAATTACACCCTTAGCAGAATGTTACAAATCATGCTACAGACAAGGAAGGGGAGGTAAGACAGGAACAAAGGGGCTTTTGATCTAATAATTGAAGGGTTTGGTAATTGTAATTGTTGCTAGGCGGTCAGAAATCCTGTGACTAATTCAGACACTATCAACTGGGTTTGAAGAGGAAGGATGTAGTGTGATGCACTGCACAGGATAGGGTATAAAAATCTATCCTAAAATTGATTCAAGTGTGATCTCTGGGATTTGTAATTACCAAGAGATCCACCAGATTTTGCAAAAGCTTTAATAAAACTTGTTTTGTTTTCCAACACCCTTGGAGTTGAATTTTTATTCCTCACAGGAAACAATTCTGTAAAATACAAAATTACAAATAAAAGCTAAAGGGTCTCCTGAGATAGTAAGAAGTAACTAAGGAAATAAAAGGGACAGAACCGATTGAAGAAAAATATTCATATTCTAAGTGGGAGTACTGGTCATTCAGTTCTAGAAAAATATTACCTCAGAAATAGCAGAAGTATGTGGGAATTTAGAAGACTGATGGGAACCTTTCAAAAAGGCCAAGTGTGCAAGGGAGATGGCAACTACATATTAAAGGAAAAATATGAAGCTATTTTTATATAAATAAATGGGAAGAGAAATAGGTGGTTCTTGAAGAGTCAAGAAGTAAAATACAAAATACAAATAATAAAAGATTAAAGGTCTCCTGAGGTAGTAAGAAGTACCTGAGGAAATAAAGGGACAGAACTGATTGAAGAAAAAAATATTCACAAATGGAATTTTTGCTAAAAAAAAAAAAAAAGGCACAAGCAGTACCAATTTTGTGAGACGTAAAGCTTGAAGTTCTTTCTGTACTCGGAATGCATGTTTAAGAATCTTTAGGTTTCATTCCACCATTTCCAAAGTTTCTCCTTTGTGTGAAATACAGGTAGTCCTCGACTTACAACAGTTCATTTAGTGACTGTTCAAAGTTACAATGGCACTGAAAAAAGTGACATGACCATTTTTCAGAATTATGACCATTGCAGCATCCCCACGATCATGTGATCAAAGTTCAGATGCTTGACAACTGGTTCATATTTATGACCGTTGCTGTGTCTCAGGGTCACGTGATCACTTTTTGTGACCTGACAAGCAAAATCAATGTAGCCAGATTCGCTTAACAATTGGGTTAGTAACTTATCAACTGCAGTGATTCATTTAACTACTGTGGCAAGAAAGGTCATAAGATGGGGCAAAACTCATTGAACAAATGTCTCACTTAACAACAAATTTTGGGCTCAATTGTCTTAAGTCGAGGACTAACTATACCTATCACAAGGTGACACAAGCATTTTCCACACTCTATCTATGGATACATTTTATATATATTTTATTCATTTATTTATATCTCACCTACATCTATAAGTCAGAGGTACAGCCTTCAACTCTTAGGACTTTGGATTTTGATCAGCTGGAGGTAAACAAAGAGACAATGGCCATTTTAATTTTGATAGCTGCAAATTTATTCATTAAATTTGCCGCCTATCTTGCTGCAGGGCTACTCTGAGTGGCAAATCTATGCTACTTAAAAAAATCTTTGGTCCACGACTGTAGGGCAAAAGAATTAGTAAGGATCTGTTCCTGGTGGAATGGTCAGAAACATTCATAATTGTGACACGTACATTGGATGGAGACCTATGTTGTAAAGTTTTATAACTGCATGTTTTCCAATATTTGTAGGAGATTCCAGTTCCAGTGGTGATCTTTACAATGCGTTTGTCCTCAACAATGCGATTACTGTTCTATACAAAGGAAGAGACATCAATAGTGAGTGCAAAAATTATAAGTGGTTTAGATTATTAAGCATCCCCAGGAATGCTGCACTGTAATTGAAAGACGAGAGGCAGCAATAAACACAATTTGGAAAACCAGCTTTATGCTGATCAGGGAAGGCCCAATATATGATGGAAGTAAACCATGCCTAAGAATAATTGAACATTTAGCAAATGGTTCGACCCTGATCAGGAAATAAGGAGAAGAGATTTTGTTGTCCAAAAAAGCCTGAGATCATGCCTGGTTATGCAGTGTTCATTAAAAAAAATATCAAGGATGGATATAACAAAATATTTATTTCTGGCCAGAAAGCCGGTGCCCAGGAACCAGATCAAGCATCTCTATGTGTTCAAATCTGTATGTGTGCATATGTACCATTGTCAAAAGCCATACTCCAAATAAGATAGGCCCAGAGCAAAAAAGGTAAATAAAATTTAATATAACAAAATGTCATTGCCATTAAAATAAGGAAGCAAAGTAATTTCTATTTACATGCACCATTGTATCTCACATCCAAACATGCCCTTTCCATCTTCAACTGAAACAACAGAGACATGAGAGATTGGGGAAGGGGTAATTTTGCTGGAAATAGAGAGGGAAAAGAACCAGAGGTGTATGGTCCAGAAGAAGAGTGAATTGAGGAAGGAAAAATAAATTGAAGGGAAAGTGAATTGAAGGGAGAAAAGGCCCATTTTAACCCTTAGAAAAACAGTTAAAATTTCTACAGGCAAGCAAGGATAAACCACAATCCTCCAAACCCAGATTTAGGATCAGGATTAAGGGCTGGCTAATGCTCATTCACAGCTATATAGTCATTTATGCCTCTAGCCCAGTTATATTCAACATAGATGTCTGCTCCCAAATACACTGAAAGTCAGCATCCCCAACTCACAGATAAAGAAGGAAAAAAAGTCACCTTCCATATGGATAATCTATATACTATTAAAGGTCTCATCATGACCTGACCTGGGTAAACAGGGATACTCAGTTGAACCAATCAAATTTATTTATTTATAAAATTTATAGGCTTGCCCACCTTAACTCAAGGTTACTTTGGGCAGCTAATGGACTAATTTACAGAATGTATCCATTCTGGGACCAGTGACTCCCGAGGGAATGAAATTTGGGGAAATTATAACTGCCTCATTGCTACTGACTGCTGGTGTACTGCTGGAACAGTTTCCCACCTACTCTCACAATCCCTTGCACTCTCCCACACTCAGCAGTAGCCACTTACATGCCTGTTGGGAAGAGAAGGGAAAGGGGAGATTTTCAATGCTCCTTACCAGATTCCCACAAGGAAACTCAATGGGGAGGCCAGGAGAAAGTTGGAGTTCACTCCTGTTCCCACAGCTTTTTTGCTCATCACTAGTCGTTCAGTTCCTCTGCTTAGGTAAGGCCAGAGCTTTTTTTCTCATAGAACGCCCAGAATGGAGTTCCGGCACCTTTTTTGGATGGAACCTTATAGGGTAAGCAAGGCGGGTTGTATGACGTGTGTGAGTTCCGGCACCTTTTTTTTTTATATAGAAAAAAAGCACTGGGTAAGGCAATAGCTCTAGCAATAGCACTTAGACTTATATACCACTTCACCATGCTTTACAGCACTCTCTAAGCCAGTGATGGCGAACCTTTTAGAGACCGAGTGCCAAAACTGCAACCCAAAACCCACTTATGCATCGTCGGGTGCCGGGTGGGTGTGGCCCATTGGGTGGGCGTGGCCCATTGGGTGGGCATGGCTGAGGTGGTAACGGCAGACTGGGTGGGACTAAAAAGTTCAATCAATCAATTCCAACTTTGCAAGATCTTTTTTTTTTCCCTGCGAGAAGTTGAAATTGACTAATTGATTGAACCATTTTTTTTTTCTTTGCACACGGCAGTGGAAGCCTAAAGAGAAAACATTTTATAAAATCTAGCTGAAGGCCTAGGACTGGGGTGACGGCGCGAGTGCCCACAGAGAGGGCTCTGAGTGCCACCTCTGGCACCCATGCCATAGGTTCGCCACCACTGCTCTAAGCAGTTTAGAGTCAGCATATTGGCCCCAACAATCTGGGTCCTCATTTTACTGACCTTGGAAGGAAGGAAGGCTGAGACATTCTTGAGGTGGTCAGGATCGAACTGTAATGCTACATTCTAACCACTGCGCCACCACGTTCTGAAATGATATCCCAACAGGGAATGGATTGTCAAGTGATTTAATAAAAATCTAGGTATTCCTAATATCTAACTGCAGATTTGGCTGTATATAGCTGATTTATATTGTACCTACTACACAGACAAGATATTAGGCCTTCCCCTTTTAATAACTTGAAGCTCTTCCAAAGTTTCCTATAATCTTTTTTAACTGGTCCATCCATTCTATTTCTTCTCTTTCTTTCACTCTAACTCATTTTTTCTAATTAAATAATCCATTCCCCTTTTAATCATGGCATGCTGATCAGAAATGGAATGACTTAAGTTCTTTCCATATTCCATGCATGTACAGAGCCTTTTCTCCATGTAGCTCCTTTTATCAGAACTTCACTACTCTGACAAGTTCCTCCCATATTATATGCAGGCAGGTGGGTTCTTCTTTGTATGGATCCTTTTATGAAAAGAGAGGGAAGTGTTGTGACTGAAACTCTTTCCACACTCTTGGCACTCATATGGTTTCTCTCCCGTGTGGATCCTCCTATGTGAACTAAGGGAACTGCTTGTATTGAAACTCTTTCCACAGTCCGTGCAATGATAGGGCTTCTCACCAGAGTGAATCCTCTTATGTGATATCAGGGAACTGCTTGTATAAAAGCTCTTTTCACACTCTGTGCACTTATACAGCTTCTCTCCTGAGTGGATTTTCTTATGAGAACTAAGATGACTGCTTTTACTAAATTTCTTTCCACAATCCATGCACTGATACGGTTTCATCCCAGTATGGATCCTTTCATGGGAACTAAGGGAAGCACTTTGGCTGAAACTCTTGCCACATTCCGTGCATTTATATGGTTTCTCCCCTGTGTGGATCCTTTTATGCGCAGTAAGGGAACCGCTGGTGGTGAAGCTCTTTCCACAGTCTGTGCATTTGTATGGCTTCTCCCCTGTGTGGATCCTTTTATGGCAGGAAAGATTTCTGTGTTGGCTGAAGCACTTTCCACACTCTGTACATCTATATGGCTTCTCTCCTGTGTGGATCCTTTCATGAGAAATAAGATCAGTACTCTTGCGGAAGCTCTTTCCACATGCTGTGCATTTATATGGTTTCTCCCCTGTGTGGATCCTTTTATGGGAAATGAGTTCACTGCTTGTACTGAAGCTCTTTCCACAATCCATGCACTGATATGGTTTCATCCCTGTATGGATCCTTTCATGGGAAGTAAGGGAAGTGCTTTGGCTGAAACTCTTCCCACATTCCATGCATTTATATGGTTTTTCACCTGTGTGGATCCTTTGATGACTAGTAAGGTTATTGCTCCAACTGAAGCTTTTTCCACACTCCATGCATTGATACGGCTTCTCACCTGTGTGGATCCTTTTATGGGAAGTAAGATCACTCCTACTTATAAAGCACTTTTCACAATCTGTGCACTGATATGGTTTCTCCCCTGTGTGGATCCTTTCATGGGAAGTAAGACCACGTCTCATTGTAAAGCTTTTTCCACACTCCATACATTTAAACGGTTTTTCCCCTGTATGGATCCTTTTATGAGAAATGAGATCACTGCTTTGACTGAATTTTTTCCCACAATCCATGCATTGATATGGTTTTATTCCTGTATGCATCCTTTCATGGGAAGTAAGGGAAGTGCTTTGGCTGAAACTCTTCCTGCATTGCATGCACTTATATGGTTTTTCCCCTGTGTGGATCCTTTTATGGGCAGTAAGGGAACCACTTGTGGTGAAGCTCTTTCCACAGTCTGTACATCTATATGGCTTCTCCCCTTTGTGGATCCTTTTATGAGAAGTAAAACCAATACTCATACTGAACCTCCTTCCACATTCCATCCTTTTATATTTCTTTCCTGCGTGGGACTTTTTATGCAAAGTAAGATCATTGCTTGTAGAGAAACTCTTTCTGCACTCTGTACATTTATATGACTTCTCCACTATCTGAGTTGTTTTCTGGGTATTAAAAGTACTGCTGTCATTAAAGCTTTTCCCACTGTCTGAATATTTATGTGATTTTGGTGTCTCAATCCTTTGATGTAAAGTAAGACATAGACTCAAGTCTTTTTTTCCATGTTCCCTGCATTCAAGCTGATTCTCTTTAGAGTGGGTCCTGCTACATTCATAGATGAGCGATTTATTGCTGAATGCTTTCCCACCCTTTAAACAGCTTCTTTTTTCTTTGTGAGGCTGAATATTGAAGCTGCAATTTTCTCTATACTGAAAAATAGACGATTTTTCCTTCCTATTATTCAAACAGTTTTCTGCAGTCACCTTTGGTTTCCTCCGATTTTGCAATATCCCTTTTCCAGTCTCAGTCCTTTCCAATGAATTTACACCTGGTCCTTTATAATCTTCAGGCTTCTCCATGTCATCTGTTTGGAAGGAAAAGAGAGACTAAAATTAAACATGAGATGTTTAAGACATAAAGTGATGTGAAAACATCATATAATAATAATAATAGTAATAGTAATAATAATAATAATAGTATTATTATTATTATTATTATTATTATTATTATTATTATTATTATTAATAATAATAATAATAATAGTAAAGTTGGAAGGAACCTTGAAGGTCATCTAATCCAACCCCCTGCTCAGGCAGGAAACCCTATACCATTTCGGACAAATGGCTGTCCAGTCTCTTCTTAAAAACTTCCAGTGTTGGAGCATTCACCGCTTCTGGAGGCAGGTTGTTCCACTGGTTAATTGTTCTAACTGTCAGGAAGTTTCTCCTTAGTTCTAGGTTGCTTCTCTCCTTGCTTAGTTTCCACCCGTTGCTTCTTGTCCTGCCTCCAGGCGCTTTGGAAAATAGCTTGACTCCCTCTTCTTTATGGCAGCCCCTGAGATATTTGAACAGATATTCTGCTCCTTTTTTATTTCAATACTACTGTATCAAGATTTTTCCTTCTAAACTACATGGTGATGGGAATATTTCCGGGGCTTTCTTTATTGCATCTCTGATCCTTCCTGTTATCTCCAGAAAGTTGGAGTACTAGGAGGCATCTGAGGTATGAGGTCCCACAAAGCTCCATTATTTTTACCCATTGGGGAAAATAATTTGGTGTCAAGAGGAAATGTCTGGAGAGTAGCCTCTAGAGTTCTGGAGTGGAATATCATCACTTTATTGCTTAACATTTAATTTCAAGTGGGGAAGAAGACAAGTTGAAATTAAATCAAGAGAAAATGGAGGTGCTGTTGTTACAAGCAAACTGTGCTTAAATGCTGGGGTTGAGTGGGTTTGAGATGAATTGCCCTCCCTTGAAAAAATAGGTCTGCACTCCAGGAATGTTCCTTTACCCTCAGCTTTCCTTACACTTCTCAGCAACTTGCTTTATTCAAAGTTACATCTGTGAGAAAAACAGAGTTAGACTATCAGGATATCTTGTGCCTTATCTCCCCTATGCCCCAAGAGTGGAGAGATTGTTTTTATCTCTACTTAAGCACTTTGTTTTTTTTTATAACTGTCTATTTTATGGTCCCCCCTGTTCTTCCTTGCAGGAAAATGGCAATTTTGCAGATATACAGTACCAATGCACCATTGTTGCTACTTTAACATGGCATTGTTTGCGGTCAGTCTGTACAATCTTTTTGTAGCAGCTAGTTTTTTTTTTTGTAGAGGTGGCATTTGCTGTGTTGTTGTTTTCTCAATTCTGCTTTTGTATGCATTTGTTCTGAAAGCTTGGTCTTGTGAAGCCAGAATTAGTCCCTCTGTTTCTTTCTTCAGCTACATGCACATTCTACAACTGTGCAAAAACATCATTTGAAATGGCAATGAAACTGCTGCTCCATACTATTTGAATGTACAGCCAAATATTGCACTACTTTGCACTGAGCAAATGTGCTACTCTTATTAACCACAGAAGAAAAATGGTAAAAATGAATTAAGATGCCCAATAGAAATAAGATCAAGTAACTTGGCACATGTTCTTGTTAGCTATGGCTTGATTTGTTCAGAGAGTATTGTTAAGAGAGGAATCAATGCACTGACAAAAGTGTTAGTGAGCCTCCTTAGAAGATTCCCCTCCCAGTCTAACATCACTGACTAGCAACTATGTTTTCCATTGAGCTATTGATCATTCCTCTTCTCTTATTTCCAGACATTTGATTATCCAAATATGTGGCAGGGAATCAAATGCCTTCTTGTAACCAATCCAAACTTTCTATTGAAATTATTTATTTATTTTGATTTACATAGCTGTCTGTATTACATATGTGACTCTGGCCATGATGCACATATGGTCATTTCCATTCTCTCTAGGAAAAGTATAAACCCTAATCACCTCTGAGAAACTAGTAAAAATATACCTTCTCCACATATTTCAATTCAGAGCAAAATGGATCGCTTACCCATGAAATTCACAATTTTAGCATCCCCCACCCCTGAGAAATCAATGCTTAGCTCTCGTCAGAATATACCTTCTCCACCAATTTCAACCCAAAACAAAATGGATCCCTTACCCATGGACTCTACATTCTTAGCATTTTCCAGCATGACCTCTCTGTACAGGGATTTTTGGTTAAAATCCAGCAGAGCCCACTCCTCCTCAGAGAAAAACACAGTTACATCTTCAAAGGACACGGCGATCTGAAGTACAAAAATACTCCTTGTTAACGTACAATTGTAGAAAATACTTGCAAATTCTTTATTCTAATGGTAAATATTCTACTCATTGGGAGCAACTCTTAAATTCTTCTTGATCTACTCCTGAGATGATCTACTCCTGAGACAAGATGAGGGTGCAAAATGGATTCCAATACTTCCTGCAAGATTGCTTATCAAGCAGATATTGGGATATTACTATATGATATCTTATATTAATGTTTTATATTGTCCAGTAGGACATACACAGTCTTATATTGAACAACTAGAAGAAGTTGTTGGGAGATGTCCTCAAAAAGAAGCTTGAGATGCTATGAATGTGTGGATGTTATCAGAACACTGGGAAGATGCTCTGAATAATTGGTTAGTTGCGAGCTATTAAACTGATGCTGGAAAAGACTCAAACTGCTTTGGAGAGAGTTACATGTTCCTTGAATAAATCATGTTGCACTTTAAGAGATGGGACCCTCCTACCTGAGTTGGAAGTACAGCCACTGTTTCTGCTCCACCACAAGGAGGAGGCCTTTTCACTGGTATAATCACCATTGTTGTGTTTTCTAAGAACGAGACAAAAGCAGAGGAAGTACATATTTTAAAAACAGCTGGAGAAAAATTTTGTACACAGGGCTAAGGTAATACAGTAAACGAAACTCATGAATATAAAGACTTTGGGCAATGCATACTCCTGAGGAGTCCCAATACATCAAAAAGAACCCTTTTTTACCTGATGGTGTCTCCTGAGATGATGGGTCTTCTTGTCTCAAGACAATTTCTTGAGAGAGATGTGACACTTCTCCTGATGTTTTAGAACCATGGGTGGCCACCTCCATCAAATGCCCATGAATCTGAAATAGCAGTGAAGAGAACATTACTGCCCCTGCGCCAGCTTATTAATATGACCTTGGAAATAAGGGGTGAAGGAATCATTTATCTATCAAGGATACATTTCATTAATCTAGTTTAACGAAGAGAAGGATGAGGGGGACATGATAGCAGTGTTCCAATATCTCAGGGGCTGCCACAAAGAAGAGGGAGTCAAGCTATTCTCCAAAGCGCCTGAAGGCAGGACAAGAAGCAACAGATGGAAACTAATCAAGGAGAGAAGCAACCTAGAACTAAGGAGAAACTTCCTAACAGTTAGAACAATGAACCAGTGGAACAACCTGCCTCCAGAAGCGGTGAATGCTCCCACACTGGAAGTTTTAAAGAAGAAACTGGACAGCCATTTGTCCGGAATGGTATAGGGTTTCCTGCCTGAGCAGGGGGTTGGACTAGAGGACCTCCAAGGTCCCTTCCAACTTTATCATCATCATCATCATCATCATCATCATCATCATCATCATCATCATCATTAAAACCATCCTGATTATATTTAAGACTTCATTCATATCGTTTTGATGATCTCACCTGCTGCTTTTGCCGTGTTTTCTGTTCCACATGGCTCAGGAGGAAACCTTTGGCTAAGGTCACTTCCTGGGAGCTGATCTCTGCTCCATGTATCCAGACACAGCTCTCCAGCTCAGTGGGTGGGGTGGCCACGGACTGTTGCAGGATTATCACCTGAGCTTTCATGCGGCTCTCTTGTTTCAGCCACTGATTGTAAAGATGATGGAGTTGGCTGCATATGACTTGGAGTCCCTCAGCTTCCTGGCAACAGAGCTCCCTGAAAGGGCAACACTGGACAACACAATGTATGACTGCTTCTTCCAGAATGTTCTGCTTGGTCCTTGCTGCTTGTCCAAACAAATCCAAAGGCTCTTCTGAATCTACAAAGCAACTCCCATTCATGGGAGCAGAATGGGAAGGAGATCCTCCTTCTGCCATCTTGGAGAACGAGGTCTTTCTTGCTTGAATGATTAGGTTCTATGGGAAGTAAAATTCAGCTTCCAGGATAAGATGAAAATGAGTAGAGACCTATAATCCAACATGCTGAGAAGAACTTTCTTTCATTATTCAATTTGTAATTTATGTTCCTGAGTGGCCTGCAAAGAATGAAAGCAAGGTAAAACAGGAAGCAACGGATGGAAACTAATCAAGGAGAGAAGCAGGCTAGAACTAAGGAGAAATTTCCTGACAGAACAACTTGCCTCCAGAAGTTGTGGCTGTTCTAACACTGGAGATTTTTAAGAAGGGATTGGACAACCATTTGTCTGAAATGGTACTTATAGGAGGTCCTGCCAGAGCAGGAGTTTGGACAAGCGGACCTTCCAGCTCTGTTATTCTGTCATTCTATTATTCAAACACAGCAGATTACAACTGCTAATGAAAATAATTGCAAAGGAGGGGGAAAAAATCTTAGTCATTAATACAACATAAACAACTTCCACCAGAGATAGACATCACAGTGTGCAGTTTAGAAATCTTGAAGTTTGTGGGCTTTAATTTTTTTTTTTGCAAATATCTACCCAAGGTGCTATTTTGAAAGGATTCAGATATCCGGGGCACTATCGACATGGGATGCAGATCAGCCAGGCCCCTTGAACTTCTGCTGAAAGGAATATTTCCTTGCCTCCCAAGTACTGGAAAGATCCCAAGCCAGGAAGATCCTGAGATGCTCTCAGCAGACAACAAACCTTGGAGTCCTCCGGAGGGAGCTTGTGCAGAACTGAATTTTAACCTAGAAGAGGCTCTCCTTGCAGAAATAAGTGTCTCGGGTATCAGGAGAATATTGACATGGGATGCAGATCAGCCTAGCTTTTGGGGCTTCTGCAGAATGGAATATTTCTTTGCTTCCAGTCCTGCAAAGAACAACATTCAAGATCAGGAAACCCAGATCCTCTAACCTGCAGATGCATCCAGTAGACATCTAGCGCTTTTGACAATCATACGGAAGACGTGGGAGGGGTTCTCAGCTTCTGCAGAACTCAACCTTTTACCCAGAAGGGGCTCTCCTTGCAGAAATAAGCGTCCTCGGCACCCCCTAAAAAGGGGGCAAATGAGTAGCTGGGATCTTGGGGGGGGGTGTTTCCAGAAGAGCCTCCCTCCAGATCCGGAGACTGAGAGATCACCCGAGTCTGGCTCGGCAGTCCACCAGAATCCGCTGCTTCCCTGTGAGGAGCCCAGCAAGGAGGCGCTTCGCAAGCTCGGCAGCTGCGGGAAAGGAAGAGCCAGCAAAAGAAGGAAGGCTCCGTTTGCAGACTCGGTCCGCTTCCTGCAAAGCGCGCCCTCGGCGTTGGAACGGTCGCTTCCTGCCCGCTCTTGAAAGCATCGGGCGAGATGCTTCTCTCCGGAGCGAGCAAAAGCAATTCGTCTGAACCCGACGGTTGTTTGCGAGGGGCGCCCTCTGGCGGATCCTGCGTGCCAAGCCTGCCGGGCGATGGACGGGGAAATGAGGTTTCCAACCCAGGATTGCTGGAGAGGGAGAGGCGGCTAGACTAGAGCCTGGCAGGGTAGACTCGCTGTGTGGCTCTTCTACTCCTTTCTACCATTTTATAACACCTTGGTAAGGCCACACTTGGAATACTGCATCCAGTTTTGGTCACCGCGATGTAAAAAAGATGTTGAGACTAGAAAGTGTGCAGAGAAGAGCAACAAAAATGATCAGGGGTCTGGAGGCTAAAACATATAAAGAACAGTTTCTGGAATGGGGGATGGCTAGTTTAATGAAAAGAAGGGCTAGGGGTGACATGATATGATAGCAATGTTCCACAGGTTGCCACAAAGAAGAGGGAGTCAAGCTATTCTCCAAAGCACCTGAAGGCAGGACAAGAAGCAACGGATGGAAACTAACCAAGGAGAGAAGCAACCTAGAACTAAGGAGAAATTTCCTGACAGTTAGAACAATTAATCAGTGGAACAACCTGCCTCCAGAAGCTGTGAATGCTCCAACACTGGAAGTTTTTAAGAAGAGACTGGACAGCCATTTGTCTGAAATGGGGTAGGGTTCCTGCCTGAGCAGAGGATTGGACTAGAAGACCTCCAAGGTCCCTTCCAATGCTGTTATTCCATTCCATTCCAGGTTCTGTCCAGAAAATTTCTATCCAGGAAACCATCAGCTGACATCTCTCTGCTTCTTAGACAACTTAGGTCTGGAGCCCACATGGAAATCAGAGAATGGCCCATAAAAACAATTACAGCTAGTCCTTGACTTACAACAGTTTGTTTAGTGACTGCTCAAAGTTACTACGGCACTGAAAAATGTGATTTACGACCATTTTTCACAGCTATGATCTTTGCAGCATCCCCATGATCATGTGATCAAAATTCAGACGCTTGGTAGCTAGTTCATATTTATTACCAAGGTCATGTGACCACCTTTTGTAATCTTCTGACAAAGTCAAGGGGGAAGCCAGATTCACTTAACAACCGGGTTACTAACTTATCAACTGCAGTGGTTCACTTAACACTTGGTGTCAAGAAAGGTCATAAAATGGGGCAAAACCCGCTTAACAGATGTTTCACTTAACAGAAATTTTGGGCTCAGTTGTGGCCGCAAGTCGAGGACTACACGTATTTGCAATCAAAATGTACCTTTGAGCAAAAGCGCACAAATATCTCAGGAAAGGAACTTCTGAAATGGGAAATGGCAATGAGCTGGCGGAAAAGGCAATGTGGAAAATTTCTGTATGGAATTAATTTAATTTAATCCTCTGCGAGGGAGGTGGAATCCTTTAAAAAGGGGCCACTAAGTGAACTGTCTTCCATTACAGGTAGTCCTTGACTTAACATTAGTTTGTTTAGTGATTGTTTGAAGTACATGTCGTCCTCAACTTAACAACAGTTCATTTAGTGACCATTCACAGTTACAATGGCACTGAAAAAAAGTGACTTGGGACCCTTTTTTCACACTTACGACCGTTGCAGCATCCCCATGGTCACGTGATTTACATTTGGATACTTGGCATCTGACTCGAATTGTGACGGTTGCAGCATGATCCCCTTTTTGCGACTGTCTGACAACAAAGTCAGTGACGAAACCAAATTCACTTAACAACCCTGTAACTGACTTAGCCACTGGAGTGATTCACTTAACAACCATGGCAGGAAAAGTCATAAAATGGGGCAAACTCACTTAACAAATGTTTCACTTAGCAACAGAAATTTTGGGCTCAATTGTGGTTGTAAATCGAGGACTATTTGTACAGTTGAAGCCATTGGTTTCTCCAGGCTGTCCAAGGGTTAAAGAGAGCGAGTGCTTCTCCCTAGAAAGGGCTTACTGAGGAGTGGATGGTCCTTCTGGCCCTTTCCTTTGCTATCCTGGCGAATTCCCCTCAGGGAAATGGCCCTTTGAGACCTCTTGAGAACCTTCAGAAAGGAACAGTTGGAAGGGGCGGTGCTAAGTTGGAAAAGAACTGTTGGAAAGGGTATGGCTAAGAGTTCCTGCCTGTCTGTGAGGAAGAACCGAGTGACAAAGATGTCCTCTTCTCCTGGTAAAACAACATTAGTAATATTATTGTGGGAAGTCAGCACCCCCCCCAGAGAAGGAAATATTAAAAGGGCAGAAAAATATATTTCCTCAAAAGGATTTTAAAAGCAGAAACCAACCTGCCCCCAAGCAGAAGCCAGCACTGTACAAATGCAGATGTAAACCATCAGAAAGGCCCCAGCTAGGAGATCAAGAAGACAAAGACACCTAAAATCTGCATACCCCGCCTGAGACAGGACATGGTAGGATTAACTCACAAAGGCCAAAGGGCACACCGAGATTCAGGTCAGGATATATGACACAGGAAATACAAAGCCTAAAATAGGAACAGGAAACTATTTCAAACAAAAGGCTTCAGAGGGTATAAAAACCTACTACCCACATGTGCTCAGCCCTTCTTTTCTCTCCTCTTTCCTGCCAAAAGCATTTTTCGGTCTGGCTCTTCAATAAACTGCAACCTTTCTAAAGCAGTCGCCATGTTGTTTATTTATCCCCGGCTTGGATGAACCAGGATGAAGACTTTTCTTTCAACATTATAATAATAATATAATAAAAATAATAATAGTAGTGCTGAGAGATTCTGCCCTAAAGTCCTTTTCCGGGGTAGGACTTGCCTTCTACTCTATTGAAGATACACTACTAGCAAACTTTGTCCTTGAGGAACAGCCCCTGATCTGAAGTGAGGGAAGATGGTGGCTATGGCATCTATGAGGAGAAGCTGTGGGAGTCCTGAAGGACAGAAAAATCCAGAATATTGAAAAGAATCGAATTCCCCAATGGGAATATTGTCAAAATACATCCAGTTCTTAAAAAAAAAAAAAAAAAAAAAGCTCAGGAATTGCAGAAGTGAGGGGAAATACAGGTAATCCTCAACTTATGACAATTGAGCCCCAAATTTATGTTGTTAAGTGAGACATTTGTTAAGTGACTTTTGCCCCATTTTACGACCTTTCTTGCCATAGTAGTTAAGTGAATCACTGCAGTTGATAAATTAGCAACATGGTTGTTAAGTGAATCTGGCTTCCCCATTGATTTTGCTGGTCAAAAGGTTGCAAAAGGGGATCACATGATTCTGGGACACAGCAACGGTCGTAAGTATGAAGCAGTTGCCAAGCATCTGAGTTTTGATCACATGATCATGGGGATGCTACAAAGGCCGTAAGTGTGAAAAATGGTTGCCAGTCACTGTTTTCAGTGCCATTGTAACGTTGAACGGTCACTAAAAGAACTGTTGTAAGTTGAGGACTACCTGTATAGGTGTGCAGGAAGCTTGGGGGAACGTTCAAAAAAGCAAATGTAATGTAATAATGATAGAAGAAAAAGATTGTAATGGAAACCAGATACAACTAGGAGTCAAAGGTGGATTCATAGGGCTGGAGGACTACATTTTAAATAATAATTAAAAAATACATAACTACATAAAGATCAGTACATTTATTTTTCTTTAATGGAGTTCTATGGCCATCTATCTTACATGCGTTGACTCTGCATAGCTAACATTGTGAAAAATAATATATATAAAATAATACACATATACATATTAATATAGGCAAATCCAAACCATTATCAGAGATAAATACTATTGAGTGGAATTTAAATCTTGGAGACTGAATATATGCAGTTTTCTTAGCAGGGTTACGGTTAATAATGGACAAGGTGAAAAAAACATTTTCCTGTCTATTCTAAATCTCCTCCTATTAAACTTTAATTGGATGATCCCTGGAACCTAAAGCTTTGCACCTGTAGAAGGAGTGGCAGAATCTGGGAGTGGAGTTAAAAGAGGAATCAGCCTTGAATTCCTAGATAGCCACAAGCGGACTAAGCACAACCCCCTTGAATTCACTTGTCCCTTATCTAACTACAAGTTGATGCTAACTGTTAGTTGAGAAGATTAATAGCCAACTAGCGCTTAGTATCTGTTTGTAGTTAGATAATGGGCAATGGAATTCAAGGGTTGGACTTAGTCCACTTGGGGCTACATAGGAATTCTAGGCTTATTCCTCTTTTAACTCTATCCACACCTTCTCTACAGTACCTGGGTGATTTATTTTGTTAATTTTTGCTTGAGGGTGCCAAACACAAACATAATCAAGCCACTAATCATTTGGATGGCTGCTTTTGAACTTTCGCCATCTCCTTTATATCATTTTTCAAATGGGGCAATCAGAACTATACACAATATTCATATACTATAGAAGGGAATAACAGTTGCAGCTGTTTTACTTCCATTCTTTTCCTACTGATCCCTAATGGGGGATTTGCTTGTTTTCTTATCTGCTACATACTGAGTCAATAGCTTCACTGGGGTCTCCATTATAACCTACTCCTTGCTTAATTACAGTTCAATATTCAACAATGTGTATGTCAAATTAAGAAATTATGCCCAAATACACATCACATTCAACGTTCTTCAAGAGAACTACATTGTCCACTGAATTGACTCTTCTGTCTATTTAAAGAGATTCCTCTCAAATTCTTCACACTTTACTTTTCCCTACTTTCAACATTTCAGTATCATCTACAGGCTTGGCCAAAGCATGGCATTTTCCCCCCAATGGTTTTGGGATATTAAGTGATTAACTGAAGTAGAGTCTCTTAGTTATCCAATTATGAGTTATTGCTGCCCTGTCAATAAATGTCATATCAGTCACATATCTGCATGACTGCCAAAATCATGCTTCAAAAAGAAACAGGTCAAGAATAAAAATAATGTAAATAAAATTTAATAAAATTTCATTGCCATTAAAGTAAGGAAGCAGACTGGTTCTTGTTTACATGCACCAACCATTATCTCTCACACCCAAACATGCTCTTTCCAACTTCCAAAGGGAACAACAAAAACATGAGAAATTGTTGACAAGTAGTTTTACTGGAAAAGGAGAAGCGGGGAATATAGAAACTAATAGGACTGGAGGTGTTTGAAGAAAAGATAAGTGGATATTTATCCACCTGGATAGTAGAAGAAAAGAGAGAGATCTCTACTGTAGGCCTTAGAGCAGACAAAGTCGCGACGTCACGTGATGTTACGCAATGTATCGGGATGGTTTTGCCATTGCCGGCAATGAGGTGGGTGTGGCTTCCGGATGAGGTGTCTGGCCCGTGGGCCAGCAGTTTGACACCCCTGCCTTAGAGAAGCAGTTAAATTTCAGATAAACAAGTCTAATAAAAAATCTGTTTAATAGAAAATTGGGCATATTGAGTATCTTGATGCAATGGGACTATATTTCAGGCATATGCTTAGTGAGACCCCATTAAGTTCATCTATAAGTGTAGCTATCACATAATCTTGGTCTCATTGTAGTAAATTGAAGCTCTTCTAAAATTTTCCTGTAATTGTCTTCATCTATGTTACCCCTTCTCTTCTCCTTCCTTTACTATTATTTAAGCATAATCCATTCTATTTCTATTTTCACACTGTGATTACGTTCTTTCCACACTGCATACATCTGTACGGCCTCTCCTCTTTGTGGCTCCTTTTATCAGAAGCTCACTATTCTCAATGCAACTTCTTCCATATTATATGCTGACAGGTGGAGTCTCTCTTGTGTGGATCCTTTTATGAAAAGAGAGGGAAGTATTGTGACTGAAACTCTTTCCACACTCATGACATTGATATGGTTTTTCTCCCGTGTGGATCCTCCTATGTGAATTAAGGGAACTGCTTGTAATGAAACTTTTTCCACAGTCCATGCAATGATATGGTTTCTCGCCAGAATGGATCCTCTTATGTGATATCAGGGAACTGCTTGTATGAAAGCACTTTTCACACTCTGTGCACTTATACAGCTTCTCCCCCGAGTGGATCTTCTTATGAGAACTAAGATGACTGCTTTGACTGAAGGTCTTTCCACAATCTATGCACTGATACGGTTTCATCCCTGTATGGATCCTTTCATGGGAACTAAGGGAAGCACTTTGGCTGAAACTCTTCCCGCATTCCGTGCACTTATATGGTTTTTCCCCTGTGTGGATCCTTTTATGGGCAGTAAGGGAACCACTGGTGGTGAAGCTCTTTCCACAGTCGGTGCATTTGTATGGCTTCTCCCCTGTGTGGATCCTTTTATGGCAGGTAAACTGACTGCTTTGAGTAAAGCTCTTTCCACATTCCATGCATTTATAGGGCTTCTCTCCAGTGTGAAACCTTTTATGAGAAGTAAAGGAACTCAAGTCTCTAAAGCTCCTTCCACAGTCCATACACTGGTAAGGCTTTTCTCCTGTGTGAATCCTTTTATGGGAAATGAGTTCACTGCTTGTACTGAATCCCTTTCCACACTCCATGCATTGAAAAGGTTTCATTCCTGTATGGATCCTTTCATGGGAAGTAAGGGAAGTGCTCTGACTGAAACTCTTTCCACACTGCATGCACTTATATGGTTTCTCCCCTGTGTGAATCCTTTTATGTGAAGTAAGGTTGCTGCTCCAACTGAAGCTTTTTCCACACTCCAGGCATTGATACGGTTTCTCCCCCGTGTGGATCCTTTTATGGGAAGTAAGATCACTCCTACTTATAAAGCACTTTTCACACTCTGGGCATTGGTATGGTTTCTCCCCTGTATGGATCCTTTCATGGGAAGTAAGACCACGCCTCATTGTAAAGCTTTTCCCACAGTCCATACATTTAAATGGCTTCTCCCCTGTGTGGGTCCTTTTATGGGAAATGAGATCGCTGCTTGTACCGAATCTCTTTTCACATTGCAAGCATTGGAATGGTTTTATCCCTGTGTGGATCTTTTCATGAGAAGTAAGGGAAGCACTTTGGCTGAAACTCTTCCCGCATTCCATGCACTTAAACGGTTTCTCTCCTGTGTGATTCCTTTTATGGGCAGTAAGAGAACCACTTGTGGTGAAGCTCTTTCCACAGTCTGTACATTTATACGGTTTCTCCCCTGTGTGGACCCTTTTATGGGAAGTAAGTTGACTGTTTTGAGTAAAGTTCTTTCCACACTCTGTACATTTGTAGGGTTTCTCCCCTGTATGGAACCTTTTATGGGAAGTAAAGGAACTCATGTCTCTGAAGCTCTTTGTGCACTCCATGCATTGATAAGGCTTTTCCCCTGTGTGGATTCTTTTATGGGAGGTAAGGTTACTGCTCCAACTGAAACTTTTTCCACACTCTATGCATTGATACGGTTTTTCCCCCGTGTGGATCCTCTTATGGGAAGTAAGATCACTTCTACTCACACAGGTTTTTCCACAGTCCATGCATTTATATGCTTTCTCCCTTGTGTGAATCCTTTCATGGGAAATAAGACTACGCCTCATTGTAAAGTGTTTTCCACACTTCTTGCATTTAAGTGGTTTCTCCCTTGTGTGGATCCTCTTATGAGAAATGAGATCCCTGCTTGTACAAAATCGCTTTTTACATGTCAAGCATTGATACGGTTTCATCCCTGTACAGATCAGTTCATGGGAATTAGGCGAAGCACTCTGGCTGAAATTCTTTCCACATTCCATGCATTTGTGTTGCTTATCCCTTACGTGGATCCTTTTATGTGCAGCAAGGGAACTACTTGTGGTGAGGCTCTTTCCACAGCCTGTGCATCTAAGTGGCTTATCCTCTGTGTGGATACTTTTATGGGAAGTAAGATCAATACTTGTACAGAACCTCTTTCCACAATCCATGCATTTATAAATTTTCTTTCTTGGGTAGGACTTTTTGTGCAAAATATGATCATTGGTTGCATAGAAACTTGTTCTGTGTTCTCTGCTTTTATATGACTTCTCCACTCTATGAATTGTTTTCTGGGTGTTGAAAGTAGTGCTCTCATTAAAGCTTTTCCTACTGTCTGAACATTTATGTGATTTTGGTGTCTCAATGCTTTGATGTAAAGTAAGATAGATATTTAAATTATTATTTTTTCCATGTTCCTTGCATTCAAGCTGCTTCTCTTTAGTGCAGATACTGCTATATTCATGGACATCTGATTTAGGGATGAACATTTTTTCAGGCTTTAAACAGTTCCCTTTTTCTTTGTGATGTTGTGTACGGAAGGTGCGATTTTCTCCATACTGAAAATTAGAGAATTTCTCGATCCTATTATTCAGCTGGTTTTCAGTCATGTTTGGCTCCTCCTGATTTTGCAATATCCCTTCTCCAGTTTCAGTTTGTTTCAAAAAATTCACACCTGATTCTTTATAATCCTCTGGTTGCTGCCTGTCAACTGTTTGGAAGAAAAAGAGAGAAAAAAAGAAAATTTATCGGATGTTTAAGATACAAAGTAAAAGTACCAACATATTATATTAGCTACATATTTATTTCAATACTATTGTATCACGTGCTGAGTATATGACTGGGGGCTTTCTTTACTGCATCGCAGATCTTTCCGGTTATTTCCAGAATGTCAGACTGCTTGGAGACACCTGAAATATGAGCTCCCACAGAGCTCCATTACTTTTCCCCATTGGAGAAAATAATTTAGTGTCAAGTGGAAACCTGTAGGGAGTAGCATCTTGAGTTCTGGAGTGGAGTGGGCTTTGTTGCTTAACAATCAGTTTCAAGTGTGGAAGAAAGCAAGTTGAAATTAAATCTAGAGAAAATGGAGATGCTGTTGCTACAAGAAAACTGGATTTAGATACTGGGATTCACTGGAAGTTTTTAAGAAGAGACTGGATGGCCACTTGTTTGAAATGGTAGGGTCCCCTGCTTGAACAGGGGGTTGGACTAGAAGACCTTAAAGGTCCCCTCCAGCTCTATTGTGATTGATAGATAAAAGTAATCCTCCCTTGGAAAAAAAACGCCAGATGTGCACTCCAGGAATGTTCCTTCATGCTCATCTGTCCTTGCATTTGTTGGCAGTCATATAGAGATCTGTGTTTACCCACAGTAACAACTTTGAGATAAACAGTGTGAGACAATCAGGATAATCAGAACTTGATCCTTTTTTTTCTCCTCCAAGTGGTGAGATTGCTTAAATGAGCTACATATATTGTACTTGAAAAGTTTTTCTGCCCAGTCCAATGGTTCTTTAATAAGGGCTAACCACAAGTTAACAAACTCTGCTCTGTGACAATTAGTTTATTAGAACTTTCCCACTTGTGCTGCTGCCTGAAACTGACCAGACCTTAATCAGTTTCATACTGAGGGTTGTGTGTCCAAAAGCGAACAAGGCAAAGAAACCCAGTAAGCACATTCCTCGCAATGTTTATGTTCAATTTTTGCCTGTTTACTCATAATATCTTCTTTCCAAATCAATGTAAATGCAAATATTAGCTTCTTAATAATTATCCAACTACAGGGTGAGCAATCCAAAGGAGAATTACTTGCTGTTTGCCCCTCCGCCAAGCTATTGGGGGGTGGAATCTCCCGGTATATATTCAGGGACAATTTTTAATAAAGTTTCCCTAAAGGGTTATTTTCAGTGCTGTCATCTCTCTTGCACTGTGGTTCTTTGGCATCTGCCCTGCAAACCCCAATTTAAGTGTTGATGCACAAATCAGAAACAACACAGGATTTTCAAATGCTATTATAGACAGGAAAAAAAAAGAAACATAAAAGACAGTTCTAAGGGGACTTGCAAACCCCAGTAAGCAACGTTGGAAACCGTCTCAGAAGGTGCTTGTTCCTTTCTTGAGAAAGCATGAAAATCTGAGCTCCTACCAGAACAAGTGTGAGAGGCAATTATTATTTTAATATTATTATTACTTTGATTTGTGGATGATGACTTCCAGTGAGGCGAGGAGAAACAAAGCCTGCATTTTTCATGGGGCATTACGTTTGAAATTTGCAGCTGGATGTGAGATATGGACTACTGAAATTCTCTCTGGAAAAAAGAGAGATCTGGAAATTTCCTATATGTATTTTGGACAGTTGATTTTTGTGAGCAGACAGTAGAAACTATTGTTTTCTGCACCTGTTTGTGATCAGCTAGAAGTTGTGGATTCCACCATCTCTGAGTAGTAAATGCAGCTTTTCAGGACTCAAGGTTTACTCAAACCTCTTCTTTTTAATAATTTTGGAGTATTAATAGGATTTAAAGATGGCTGGGAGGAAGAAGGAAAAAATACGTAAGACTAGTTTACCTGTGTACAGTTAAAGAGTAGGTTATTTTTTGTGATATTTAATGATTATCTGGACTAGATAGTTTTTCTTTTAGAAATACATAATGGTGTATCTAAATAAGGAGTTAATGTTTCAGGTAATGTTTAGTAGTTGATAAGAGGGATGAGGGGAACCCAGACTAAATGGAATGGGGATTACATACTTATATTATTAGGTATTTTTGTTGTTAATTTTTACTACATCTTTGTTGATTAATAAGGCTAGCTGAAGATTTAGATAAGACTTTGTAGAAAATAGGGTAAGATATGGAATGAAAAGGTATTGGGGCTGTATTTTAAGAGTCAATGATATATTGTTAATCTTGATTAATATTAATTGGAGATGAAAAGGGAAGACACTTAGCGGGGAGGGTTCACTTTCTAACTTTTATGTAGTTTCATATTCGGTTTTGTATTATCTTATTTATTTAACATAGTCCTTAAAATATGCTGAGATTATTATTTTGTTTTATATAGCTACCTATCTTACATCCATGACTCTGGGTCAGACATGTCAAACTCGTGATGTCACGTGATGTTGCACAACGTATCGGAGCTTTTTCGCCATTGCCGGCAATTGAGTGGGTGTGGTTTCCCGATGATGCATCCGGCCCGCGGGCTGGCAGTTTGACACCCCTGCTCTAGGTGCAATGCACATAAGGTTATATCAGTTATCTCCAGGAAAAGTACAAACCTGAATCTCTTCCAAGTAACTGATAAGCTGCTTAGCTCTTACCAGAATATATTTTCCCCACCAATTTCAACCCAGAGCAAAATGAATTACTTACTCATGGACTCCACATTCTTAGCATTTTCCAGCATGACCTCTCTGTACAGGGATTTTTGGTCAAAATCCAGCAGAGCCCACTCCTCCTCAGAGAAAAACACAGTTACATCTTCAAAGGACACAGGGATCTGAAGTACAAAAACACTCCTTGTTAACATACAGTTCTAGAAAATATTCGCAAATTCTTTATTCTAATGGCAAATATCCCACTCGTTGGGAACATCTCTTATATTCGTTTTGATCAACTCCTAAGGCACGTTCATTAAGCAAGTATTGGGATATTCCTATATGACACTTTAATGTCTTATGTTGCCCAGTGGGAGATACACAATATTCACTGAACAACAAGATGAACATGTTGGGAGATGTCCTCAAGAAGCTTGAGATGCTATGAATGGATGGATGGTATCAGATCACTGGGAAAGATGCTTATGCTCTGATAAACTGTTAGCTGGGAGATATTAAATTGGCTCCGAAAAAGTGATTCAGACCACTGTGGAGAGAGTTGCATGTTCCTTGAATGAATCATGTTGCACTTTGGGAGGTGGGATCCTCCTACCTGGCTTGGAAGTATAACCTTTGTTTCTGCACCATCACAAAGAGGAGACCTTTCCACTGGTACAATCATTATTGCTCCATTTTCTGAGAATGAGATAAAAGCAGAGGAATTAACCAGTGGAACAACCTGCCTCCAGAAGCGGTGAACGTTCCAACACTGGAAGTTTTTAAGAAGAGACTGGACAGCCATTTGTTCGAAATGGTATAGGGTTACCTGCATGAGCAGGGGGTTGGACTTGATTACCTCCAAGGTCCCTTCCAACTTTACTACTATTACTACTATTACTACTACTACTACTACTACTACTACTACTACTACTACTACTATTATGTCAATGTTTTAAAAACAGTTGGAGAAAAACTTTGCACACAGGACTAAGGTATTATTGTAACAGGAACTCAGGAAAATAAAGACTTCCAAGGACTCCAATACATGAAATGGAACCCTCTTTTACCTGATGAGATCTCCTGAGATGGGTCCTCCTGGAAATCTTCCCCAAGACAATTTCTTGAGGGAGGTGTGACATATTTCCTGATGCTTTAGAACAGGGGTGTCAAACTCAATTTCATTGAGGGCCGCATCAGCATTGTGATTGCCCTTGGGGCCGGGTGGGTGTGGCCAGGGTGGGTGCGGCCTACTGGGTGGATGTGGATGGAGTGGGTATGGCCTACTGGGTGGGTGTGGCCAGCTCTACATCGTTCATGTCAACGGTGCCTGTGGGGGCCTGGGCAGGAATGGGATAGATCTGAGGGTCTCTGGCAGAAGGGGGTGGGGACCAGGGCAAGTGCCATGGCATGGTCCACTGGAGGAGCTCACTGTTCCTCTCAGGACATGTGGGGGAGGGCTTATGGAGCTAAGACTGAATGCGTTTCAGCATAGATGGCCACCACAAAATTGTACATTGGCTCCCGGCTGGCTTGGGCCAGGGCCAAGGCAGAGGGGGCCATTCCCTCAGTTTCCAGGATGGCTTTGTGGGCCACATGAAACCAATTCGTGGGCTGCATCCGGCCCCCAGGTCTTGTGTTTCACATGTCTGCTTTAGAACCATGGGTGGCCACCTCCATGAAGAGCGCACAGGCCTATAATAGCAGGCAAACAAAATATTACTGCCCCTGTCCCAACTTGTTATATGTCCTTGGAAACAGAATAGAATAACAGAGTTGAAAAGGATCTTGTAGGTTATCTAGTCTAACCCCCACCCAAGCAGGAGACCCTACACCATTTCTGACAGAGTCTCTTCTTGATAGCTTCCAGTGAAGAAGCTCCCACAACTTCTGAAGGCAAGCTGTTCCGTGGATTGATTGTTCTCATTTTCAGAAAATGTCTCCTTATTTCTAGATTGAATCTCTCCTTGATCAGTTTCCAACCCTTATTCCTTGTCTGGCCTTCGAGTGCTTTGGAAAATAGCTTGACCCCCTCCTCTCTGTGACAGCACCTCAAATATTGGAACACTGCTATCATGTCTCCCCTGGTCCTTCTCTTCACTAGATCAGAGAAGGTGGACAGAACCATTTACTTAACCAGGGCAGAATTCTATTAAGACCACCCTAACTATATTGGAACGGAAACATGTAAAAATCATTTATATTGATCTCACCTGCCATTTTTGCTGCATTTTCTGCTCCACCTGGCTGAAGAGGAAGCTTTCAGCCAAACCCATTTGCTGGGAGCTGGTCT